TAGTTAAACATTTCGATTTATGCGATTTCCTTGATAATATACAATTAATTGGAAGCGTGAGCGCTAACGAGATGAAATAAATCATTGTTGTTTGAACGAGTTTCTTACATTTCAATTAGCGTAATTACGAGTTATAGCCAATATTTTGGGAGCACGACTGATCCTTTTCTCCGAACACTTTGTTTTTATATGTTTCAAGATAAACCCGTGAACTTCGAACGAAAAAATAAAATAATAAGTAAATAAACATTGATGACCCTGTGCGCATTTATAAATATATTCGAATTTTTTGATTGTCGGCCGATTGTAGAAGAATGTCCATTAAATGTTTATTTATTTTCAAAATTTTCACTTTGAAACCTTTTTTTTTTTTATTTCTTGCTCATTTACGATTACTGCGTTTGTTTCGCAACAGAATTTTCTATGCAACGCGCGTATATCTCGTCCACGGTTACAAGTTCAATGTAAACCACATTTAACATTTATAAATCCAACACGTTCGTTGCCTTATATTCATCTCTATTTCTCCTTTTCATTTAAAAAATAAAAATTCAAAGTAAACCGGTCGCACGTTATTGCCCCATCTGTCGATATATTAATAATTATGTGTGTAACTAAATATTTATAGTGAGAATCTTTGCACCGCGAAATTATCTAGATTCTAGAAACAAGTTACGAGATATATAATTAAATTATATATCTTGTTGTTGTTGTTGCTACCTTGGTGGTCGTTTAATTCCTTAAGAGGAAACGCGTATGTAATGTAATACATAATATTTCATTTACTGGAATCGGTTTTCTTGCAAATCTTCTATGTTTGGGCCAAGGTTTTGCGGTCGACTGAATGCGAAAAAGCACGATGAAATCTCTCGCAATTTCAATTTTTTTGCGACCTACATAATATTTTCTTATACATTTTACGATTATTTCATCTTTTGCAATGTAAACATCTTACAACGTATTAATTAATTGCGTACGAATACAAAACGAAATGTAAATTAATTACTAAATAAAATTTAAATAAATTAAGTCTTAACGGTTTTTTTTGTGAATTGGTGCTTATTTGCGTGTTTTTAATATATTAGAAATAAATTGATTTAAATTAAAACTAAAAATAGACAGAATTTAATGTTTTGATAATTTGTAAGAATATATGTAAGATTGATAGTGAAATCTATAAAAAAAATTTAAAAAAAATGTATCAATTTTAGAGTATTTCTCGAAAATTTCAATTAGTAGTTTAAATTTTAAATATTCATATTAAAGCTAACAATATAGAGATTCAAAGTAAAGTTTAATTACAGTTGTAACATTTATAAAATTAACGTAATCAGTCAATATTTAAGCAAAATTATTTTGAGTCATGTCTTTAAATTTTAGTATTTTTCTGTGAAAATTCAATTAGTAGTTTAAGTTCTAAATATTCAAATAAAAGCTAATAATATACAGATTCAAATTAAAGTTTAATTACAGTTGTAACATTTATAAAATTAACAGAATCAGTTAAAATTTAGGCGTTATTATATTGAATAATGTCTTTAAATTTTATGATTTTTCGCAAAAAATTCAGTTAGTAGTTTAAGTTCTAAATAATCAAATTAAAGCTAATAATATGTAGATTCGAACTAAAGTTTAATTACAGTTGTAACATTTATAAAATTAACGTAATCAGTTAAAATTTAAACAAAATTATTTTGAGTAATGTCTTTAAATTTTAGTATTTTTCTTGGAAAATTCAATTAGTAGTTTAAATTCTAAATATTCAAATTAAAGCTAAGAATCTAATGATTCAATTAAATGTATTTGTAATTATTTTTTTTTTAAATACATTCCTATTGTTTTCTAAATTATACTAATGTATTATGTATTCAAAAGCTATTGTATAATTTTTTATAAAATTTTCATTTTTATTTTGTTCTAGTAATAGTTTGTAATAGTTATCGTTAAAATTAATGGTATTGATGCCTATTGTATAAATAATTAACAGAATTTAGTGGACGCACAAATTCTATTGTCTTTAATAAATTAACAATAATTGTGCGAAACTGCCCATTTGCTACATGCGACTTAAGTATTTAAAGTCAAACGAGTATCGAATTCGGGAATCATTACACGATGAACAACTTCATCCAACATGCTCTATACTGGTACTGGAACTTGGTGTTAACACTATTTTTTACACTCATCTTCAGATACGTCTTAAGATCAAAACTGACCGAAGATACGAACACATTTCCAACACCGAAAGGCTTGAAATACTATCCACTTTTGGGACATTCTCTGACCTTCCTAGGAGACACCGAGTGTAAGCTGCAAAGATTCAAATTATCTATTTTATGCATTTTTTTTTCATAGATATTTTCAATACGCTTCTCCAAGTGGCAAGTAATAACAATCATCCGGTCAGGGTTCAAATCTTGCACAAGACTTACTATACTGTGATGCATCCGCATCACATGGAAGTTGTCTTGAATAGTCCGAAGTGTTTGGAGAAAGACGCGCTGTATAAGTATACAATTCCGTTGATCGGATACGGATTGTTCAATATGCCAGGTAAATTGATTGCTTTTTTTGTAGCTAATTAGGAATAGTTTATGATTTTCTTTCAGTGGGGATTTGGAGGGTTCACAGGAAACACATAATGCCGACGTTCAATCAAAAGATTTTGGACAGTTTCGTCGATATCTTTGCAGAACAATCGAATTTGTTGGCTCAAATCCTTGAAAGGAAAGTTGGGATTTACTTTGATGTTGAGGAGTACGTGGCGAAGTGCACTCTGGAATGCGTAGCTCGTAAAGAACGAAAATATTCTTACAAAAATCTTACATTTTTCTTTAATCAAATTTATCTTTAGAAACAGCCATGGGAGTGACAACTAACATCCAGACGAGTGATTGCGAAATCGTTGAATACGTGAACAAGTAAGTTAAGTTTAATTAATTGAATTATCTGTGATAAGTTTAACTCAGAGGCATGGATTTGCTTACGCTGCGTATGTACAACGTGGTGCATCGATCTGATTTGATCTTTCACTTGAGCAAGCACGGAAAGCAGGAAGAAAAGGTCATCTCAGGATTTTACAACTTCATCCAACAGGTTTAGCGTTTTCTTTTTGAATTTAATGAACACAAAATAATTAATTGAGAGCAGATTTTTAAGGAGAAACGGGAATTATACCGGGAAATGTTGAAGCAGAAGCACGGAGAAGCCAATATCGAAGGTTAAAATAATATAGCGAACAATGGATAAAGATGAAATTAAATTAAATCTTTCAGAGGTTTCTAAAAGGAAAGCTTTCTTGGAATATCTCATGGAGTTATCTGAATCTGAAGGAAAATTCACCGAAGATGAAATCATCAACGAAGTGCAAACGTTCATGATTGCTGTATTATTAAGATAAGTTTGATTTAGCGTGAAGAAGTTAAGTTTTTTTGGTTTTTTTTAGGGTTCGGACACCTCCGGCACAGTTGTTGGATTCGTTTTGCTCTGCTTGGGAATTTACCCTGAAATCCAAAAAAAAGTTTACGAAGAAGTTTTCGATATACTCGGACGCGATCGCAGCTTAAAATCCGACGATCTTCCGCATCTCAAGTACTTGGAAAAAGTTGTTAAAGAGACGATGCGTTTGTTTCCCATCGGTCCGTTCATCTTGCGACAGGTTTCCGAAGATTTACCATTAGGTAACTCAAATCAAAATATTTAATAACAATTTTTACACTATTCTTTTAGCAAATAAAGTGTTGCCAAAGGGAAGTGGTGTGGTTCTTTGTATTTACAGTTTACATAGAAGTCCTGAGTATTATAAAGATCCTTTAGAATTCAAACCTGAACGCTTTAATCCTGAAGAATCTTCGAAGAGGCATCCGTATGCGTATCTGGCGTTTTCTGGAGGTCCCAGGAATTGCGCTGGTAAAGATGTTTTTCTTTAGTTAGAAATTTTTGTAATCAAATCTCATGGTGATTTAGGTCCAAAGTTTGGAATTATGTTGGTTAAAACGATCGTGGCTACTTTGATAAGAAAATACCACGTGGAAACAACTTACAAGAGGCACGAAGATATTCGCATGAAACAATCGCTTCTACTGAAAACCGTGCTCGGCTATCCTGTTAAATTAATTCCAAGAGATAATTAGTTATAATGAACAAGAAATTAAGATTTAAATAAACGTATTGTATAAATTGTTATTGATTTATAATTAAAATAATTGATTTATGTCTTAAAAACTTGTTTTTATTTTTACCATTAACAACTATAATAACCATATTATTAGTAAATGATTACTTAATTAATAGAACACGGATGTAGTATAATTAAAATAAGTGTATTCTTCTAATTTTAACAACTTTCTTGCAATAATATTTCTCATTTTATAATGGAATTATAATGATAATTAATGTGATTGATTGATTATGGATTTATGCAGAACTAAATAAATTTTAGATTTGTTGAAATCTTTGAATCTACTCATTTACGTAAGTAATTTGCATGACAATTTCGCAAATTTTAATTGAAGCAAATTATAGAAAATTCAAAAATTCTCCTTTTTTCATATGAAAAGTAAAATTAATTTTTAATTTGTTTTTTCGTATTTAACGGTTATTAAATTTAAAATGCATCGTAATATATTAAATATTATGGATGTGGTTAAGGCTACGTGTCTCGATTGGACTTAATTACAGGAATTAGAGTAATGTTTGCGGTACTAAAGAAATTGAGTTATTTAATATAAATTGTTTACTTGTACGCAAATTGAGCAATAGGAAATAAAAAAAAAAGTAAGATACACGTTTGTTTAGCAATAGTAAATGTATATAATAAAAGAGTTTTGAGTAAACTGTTTCATTCCAGTTTCAAGAAGCGCTTTGTGAAATCTAAAAAAAATGTGTTCAATAGTGAAAAGACGTTCGTTGCTTCTGGAGCTGGGATTGCTGAATAGTTTGCTGATTGGAGTCGGTGTTCTTCTAGTGTTTTGGTACATTCGGTGGCGACAAAGCAGGAAGAATCTGTACGAAGCGGCTGCGAAGGTGCCAACACCAGAATGCATGATTCAACTACCTATACTTGGTCACAGCCTTTACTTCATCGGAGACACAGAACGTAAATATCATATTTTGCGGTAATAAAACTTTCTTTTTATTACTATTTGTTTTGTACGTGCGTTTAGAGATTTTGAAGAATGTTTATAATATATCGTTGAATAAGAGCGAAACGCCGTGCGCGGTTTGGTTGGCGCACAGGTTGTTCTTCTATCTGAAGACACCTAAGCAAATGGAAGTGGTTCTGAATAGTCCGAAATGCTTGGAGAAGGATGATTTGTATAGGTTTTCCAAGCCGTTGATAGGGCACGGACTCTTCAATCTAAATGGTAACAAAAAAAAAAACCTCAAAATTGATGTTTGAATTTGCATAAAGTTAACTTTGCAGTTGAAACGTGGAAAAATCATCGCAAATTGATTGCGCCCAGCTTCAATCAAAGGCTTCTCGATCAATTCGTCGACGTCTTCGTCGAGCAGTCAAACATTCTCACCAACAAAGTTCTCTCCAAAAAAGTGGGTAAATTCTTCAACGTCGAAGAATACATAACAGCAGCTGCATTGGAAATGGTCACTCGTAAGTACTTCCATTATTTACAATATTTAAGAAACGTACAAACAAAATATTTGTAGAAACTGCAATGGGTATAAAAACTAATAATCAAGAGAGCAATTGCGAACTCGCCGAACAATTGAACAGAGGTTTAGATATTATGTTCATGAGGATGTTCAACGTTCTTCTCCATTCGGATTTTTTGTTCAATTTGACTAGTTTGGCGAAAGAAGAAAGAACTATCATAAATTCCTTCCAAGGTTTCATTAGAATGGTATTAATAATAAAAGAATCTAAATTTTTATTTAATTATCGTATTAATATTGAAATTTGTTTAGGTTATTACTGATAAAAGAGCAGATTTCAAAAAGAAGGAGCAAGAAATGAAGGAGTGCGTCGAAGCGCAAATTGATGGTGAGTGCAGCAACGAATCATTCTTAATTCGATCAATTATTTGTATTTATATAAATTGGAAATTGTAGAATTCAAAGAGCGTAAAGTATTCTTGGATCATCTCATGGAATTATCTCAGAATCAGCAGTTTACGGATCAAGAAATTATTGAAGAAGTGCAAACATTTATGATTGCTGTAATATTTATACACACAAACAAAAAAAATAATCTTAACTAATTTAACTTTGTCTTTCAGGGATCAGACACTTCGGCTACAGTCGTTTCCTTCGTTTTAATATGTTTGGGAATGTTTCCTGAATACCAGGTAAATTAACAATTCTTAAAATCGTACATATTTTTGATTAATTCATTTCAGCAATTGGTTTATGAAGAAATCCTTGAAGTTGTTGGATTAGATCGAGACATCGAGTGTACGGATATAGCGAAATTGAAGTGCTTGGAGAAATTTATAAAGGAAACGATGCGGTTGTTCCCAATTGGACCAAACATCGTTCGAAAAGTAACAGAAGATCTTGAACTTGGTAATTCAACTTTACTTTCTATAATGAATTTCAACGTTTTGCAATAAATAAATTATTATACCTAGTTTTTATAAAAATTGAGAAATTATTTGAGTTATATCTATAAAATTGCAAGTACTTAATTTATAATCAAATTAAGTTATTTGCAAGTCAATATAGGAATATTTTATTGAAATTACTTTGCAGAATTTAATAATTTATTAATATTATCGTAATATTTCTGATTTTGATTTATTTAACGTTATGCAACAAATATTTTATAATATCTTGTTTATATCTCAAGTTATAATGTTTTTTATAATTATTTAAAGCTTTTGAAAGTATTTGATTTAAAATTAAGTAGACTTCAAAATTCAATTTATGAATTATTTACTGTATTTTTTTCAACGTCTTTCATCTAATAATACCTAGTACAGTGGAACCTCGCTTAGAAGTACCTCGCATAACGAGCAAAATGAGTTGTAGTTGAATATTTCCAGATGGTCACATTCTACCAAAAGACAGTGGATTGGTTCTGGCTATTTTCAGCATCCACAGGAACGAGAAATACTATCCCAATCCCATGAAATTCGACCCAGAGAGGTTTTCCCCCGAAGAAACCGCTAAAAGACATCCGTACGCTTATCTTCCATTTTCTGCTGGACCAAGAAACTGCGTTGGTAAATATGCTTACAATTCTCAATTATTAAACCAAATATCTAATAAACATTCCTTTTCAGGTATCAAATTTGGTATGACTGTTATTAAGACAATAGTTGCTTCGGTAACCAGGAAATACTTCATAGAAACGAGCTTCAAGACAATCGAAGAAGTGCGAGTTAAGCAATCCTTGATCATCAAGAGTTGCCTTGGTTTCCCAATTAAATTGACGGAACGTGTCAACACTTTACTATGAATCGATCTAAAATAATATAAATGTTTTTTATAAATACTTGTTGAGAAAACTATCTAAAAATTATAATTTTATTTATTATTAACAGATTTTTATTATCCTATAAATAAAAAAAAACACATCTAAACCCAGATCATTCCTATATGTATGTTTACACTTATTTAATTAAAATTTCTGAAGAACGCACAAAAATGAATAAATTAGAATCAAGTTTTTATATATGATAAATGTAAAGTTGCATAATTTTTAATAAATTTAAAACCTGAGAAGTAAACATTACAAAGTACAAGTAAATTAAGGTTACGTGTCTCGTTTATATGGAAAGAGAGTCATAAAAAAAGTACGTGAAATAATTTTAAATGAATTAAAATCTATAAGTATGCAAGTACTATAAGAAAAAAAAGTTATTTTTTAAAGTAGTATTCGCAAGAGAAAAATTTGTTCAGAAATATTAGAAATTACAGCGAATTTCCGTTCAAAGTGAACGAAAATAAGTGTTATTGTCATTTAAAAGAAACAACCTTTTATTTTTAATTGGCACAAACTCATCAACTTCATCGCTTGCAATATTTAGATCTAATTCGACTTTATTTACATCATAAATGCATTTTCTTTTCGGACGATTTTATATCAATATTTGTTTTTACTAAGGTTTCATTAATTTACCTTTTATGCGCCCCATAAATTCAGTTCACGTCAATTAATTTTGCGTAAAAAAATCTCAAGCATAAATATATTGAAGTAGTTGCATACATTCAGGGACGCTTGTAGTAATAATTACTGGCGGATATAATTATTGACATTTATTAGTTTGTTATAAATAAAGGCCGGTAATTATAGATACAAATATATAAAAGAAAAGTGTATTGAGCGAACTATGTTATTCCAGTTTTAAATCTATGATAAGAAAATCTATGAAAATTGAAGAATGTATTCAATAGTGAAAAGTCGTTCGTTTCTTCTAAATCTGGGATTGATGAACATCTTGCTGATTGCAATCTCAGTTTTACTGGTGTTTTGGTATTTTCGGTGGCGTCAAAGCAGGAAGCATCTGTACGAAGCAGCCGCGAAGGTGCCAGCATCAGATTGCATAATTCAACTACCTATACTTGGTCACAGCCTTTACTTCATCGGAGACACAGAGCGTAAACATCTTATTATGCGTTAACAAAACTTCTTTTATTACTATCCTTTGTTTTCATTTAGAAATCTTGATAAATCTTATTCATATAACGTCGAAAAGTAGTAAAACGCCGTGCTCGGTTTGGTTGGCTCACAGGTTGTTCTTTCTCCTCAATAAACCTGAGCAAATGGAAGTGGTTCTGAATAGCCCAAAATGCTTGGAGAAGGATGATTTGTACAGGTTTTCTAAGCCGTTGATAGGGCATGGACTTTTCAATCTAAATGGTAATAAAAAACTTTAAAAATTGATATGTGAATTATCATAAAAAGTTCATTTTCAGTTGATACGTGGAAAATTCATCGCAAATTGATTATGCCCAGCTTCAATCAAAGGCTTCTCGATCAATTCGTCGACGTTTTCGTCGAGCAGTCCAACGTTCTTACCAACACAATTCTTTCCAAAAAAGTGGGTAAATTCTTCGATGTCGAGGAATACATAACAGCAGCTGCATTGGAAATGGTCATTCGTACGTATTTCCATTATTTTCTCAATTAATAAGTCACAAACAAACAAAATATTTGTAGAAACTGCAATGGGTATAAAAACTAATAATCAAGAGAGCAATTGCGAACTCGCCGAACAATTCACCAGAGGTTTAGAAATTATGTTCATGAGGATGTTCAATTTTATTTTTCATTCGGATTTTTTGTTCAATTTGACCAGTATGGCGAAAGAAGAAAGGACTATTGTAAATTCGTTCCAAAACTTCATTCGAACAGTATTTATGAATAAACTAAAACTATAGTCTACTACAATATTAATATTTGAAATTGTTTAGGTTATCGCTGATAAAAGAGCATCTCTGAAAAGGAAAGAGCAAGAAATGAAGCAGTCTATTGAAGCGGAAATTGGTGGTAAATGCAGCTTGAAACCAAACTTAATTCACTTACTTACTTGTATTTATATCTAATTTTTTGATTGTAGAATTTAAAGAGCGCAAAGTATTCTTGGATCACCTCATCGAATTGTCTCAAAATCAACAGTTAACTGATCAAGAAATGATCGAAGAAGTGCAAACATTTATGATTGGTGTAAAACTTATGCAAACACAAAAATGCATTCACTATTATTAACGTTTTCTTTCAGGGATCAGACACTTCCGCTACAGTCGTTTCCTTCGTTTTAATATGTTTGGGAATGTTTCCTGAATACCAGGTAAATTAACAATTCTTAAAATCGTACATATTTTTGATTAATTCATTTCAGCAATTGGTTTATGAAGAAATCCTTGAAGTTGTTGGATTAGATCGAGACATTGAGTGCACGGATATAGCGAAATTTAAGTACTTGGAGAAATTTATAAAGGAAACGATGCGGTTGTTCCCAATTGGACCAAACATCGTTCGAAAAGTAACCGAAGACCTTGAACTTGGTAATTCAACTTTCCTTTATATAATGAATCAAATATTATTACTATTTGCATATTTCCAGATGGTCATATTCTACCAAAAGACAGTGGATTGGTTCTGGGTATTTTCAGCATCCACAGGAACGAGAAATACTATCCCAATCACATGAAATTCGACCCAGAGAGGTTCTCTCCCAAAGAAACCGCTAAAAGACATCCGTACGCTTATCTTCCATTTTCCGCTGGACCAAGAAACTGCGCTGGTAAATCTACTTAAAAAAAATCTTTGATCACTCTGAAATGCTCTTCATTTAGGTGTCAAATTTGGTATGTCCGTTGTTAAGACAATAGTTGCTACGGTGACAAGGAAATACTTCATAGAGACGACCTTCAAAAGCATCGAAGACGTACGAATTAAGCAATCTTTGATCATCAAGAGTTGCCTTGGTTTTCCAATCAAATTGACAGAACGTGTCAACACTTTTACAAACAAATGAACTTATCCAACACAATGTACATATTTTATAACTAGATGTTCGGAATTTGGAAAAGAATATAAAAATTATAATATGAAAAGACTTATACTTTACCCAAAGAAGACAAAATAAATTAAGACAATCTCTCAATTAAATTGAGGAACTATTTCATATTATTAAATAAATGCGAAGTTACATAATTTAGAAGACATTTAAAATGTGAGAAGTAAACATGTTCCAGAGAAAATTACAAAGTTCGAGAATATTAAGGTTACGTAACACGTTTTAAAAAAAATTATATGAATTAGTGGTGTATGCAATTAAAGTGTTCAAAATGCATCATTTTCTCGTTTGAAAATTGAGCAATAAAAACAAAATGAGTAAAAAGAAGATTGATACGTTTTTTTTAATATTATTTTTTTTATTAAATAGTGTAATTATATTAGATGAATGAACAAATGTTGTTATTCCAAAATTCATACTATAGCGAAAGGACGTTCGACGTTTTTGAATGTGGGATTAATGAATTGTTTGTTGATAGGTTTCTGTGTTTTTCTGATGATTTGGTATTTTCGATGGCGTCGAAACAGGAAGCATCTGTACTACCCGATTGCGTGACTCTATTTTCAATACTTGGTCATAGTCCTTACTCCATTGGAAACACAGAACGTAAATAAACATAATTTGAGCTAATTATTATGTTTTCTAATTATTTTTCGTTATATTTTTAGATATCCTGGTTTGCACACAGGTTATTCTTTTCTATAACGAAACTGGAATAAATGGAAGTAGTTTTGAATAGCTCGAAATGCTTGGAAAAAAATGATTTGTATAGGTTTTCGCAGCCGTTGATTGGGCACGGACTATTCAATCTGAATGGTAAAAATATACCTTTCCTATTCAATCTTCTGCATTTCAAAAGTTAATTTGAAGTTGATACGTGAAAAATTCATCACAAATTGATTATGCCCAGCTTCAATCGAAGACTTCTCGATCAATTCGTTGATGTCTTCGTCGAGCAGTTCTTACTTGCACTCATATTAATTTCAAATTACAGAAGTCAAAGAGCGCAAAGTGTTAAGAGATCAAGAATTCATTGAAAAAGTGCAAACATTTATGATTGTTGTAATATTTTATAGACACAAAAGTTTCACAGTCGCTTCATTTGTTTTAATATGCTTGGGTTTGTATCCAGAATATCAGGTAAATTGAAAATATAAAAATTAATTTGTATAAATATTTAATCTTTTCAACACGGATATAACGAAATTTAAAAGTAACCGAAGACTTTGAACTTGGTTAAATCACTTTTTCTTCAATAATAAATTGAATAATTATACTGTTTGCAAAATTTCCAGATGGTCAGATGTTACCAAAAGGCAGTGGTTTGGTTCTGGCTATTTTCAGCATCCACAGAAACGATAAATTCTATCCGAATCACATGGAATTCGATCCAGAGAGAAATTGCGTTGGTAATTTACAACTTCTCAAACACCATCAAACTTCTGCTAGCAATTCTGATCGTTAGGTATCAAATTTGGTATGACCGTTGTTAAGACGATAGTTGCTACGGTTACAAGGAAATACTTCATAGAAACGAGCTTTAAGAGAATCGAAGATGTGCGAGTTAAGCAATCATTGATCATCAAGAGTTGCCTCGGTTTTCCAATCAAATTGACAGAACGTGACACCACATTAGTTGAATAGAAACTTTTGTAATTAAGCATAATAAATATTGTTATAGCTACACTGTTTATTGTTTTGCCTATTACTACCATTATTTACATATATTAGAGACAAAGTTTATAAATTGAAAATTTACATAAAAATAAAGATTTTATGTCCACTCCTCTATAGTTAAAATCTTTAACTTCTGTCTCGTCTGTCAATATATCCCTTGCGAATGGTATAATTCTTTGTATCCCCAAAAGTGATAGTGACGCTTTTCTCCCTTCCGGTTAACATCCAATAACACTCCTCCCCGTTATAGGCAAATCCTTCGAATTCCTCATTAAAAACTTTTTCTTCTAAATCTCCCACCTTACCTCATCAGCATCATCAAAAACCTCCTAAGTAATCGTTCCCTTAAAGTTAAGATCCGTAAATCCTTCTCCAGTTCCTTTTCCCCGCTTCAGGGTGTCCCGCAAGGCTCTCCTCTGTTATATAAACTTTTTTGCGGTAATATGTATAGCCCCGATGCCAATATCTTTGATCCCAACTTTTATGTCCTCTAATACGTTGATGACACTACATTGATTTCCCACGCATCTTCCCTTCAATCCTCTATTCTTAACCTTCAAAACCTTCAAAACCTCCTACCCTCGACCATTTTATGGTTTAAAAAAGGGCGCCTCAAAGTTAACCCATCCAAGACCAAACTCCTTATTCCCTACCATCGCATATCCCCTTCGTCTCTCCATGTTACGTTAAATAATCATTCCATTTTTCCCTTCACCACTTGTTAAATACCTTGGAATCCTTCTTGATTCTAAACTCAATCTCAATTCCCATTCCAAACAACTCAAAACCAAAATTAAATCCTTCGTCATTTCCGTTCCTTAACCTTCCGTAACTCCGAAATATCCATAAAGTACCAAACATCCATATACAAATCAATATGCTGTCCTATCCTTGACCACTGTTTCCCACTACTTTCCTAATGTCCTAAAAAAACAGTCCGTATCCGAACGTTCCGCCCTTCGTATCCTCACCAAAATACGACATCCTAACAATCGTCTACGTCTAATAATCGTCTAGAGGTGTCCAAACTACGGCCCGCGGGCCAAACCCGGCCCGGCAGGCG